AGAGTATGAAAGTATGTATCCTAAATTGTTGAATAATACACTCTGGGGTTTGGCACATGGAATAAGGAGGTTCGTGGACTAAAAGTCTGATGATTAAGGATTAAGCAGCGTCTCATAAAAACCTTGATACTTGAGTCACTGTGGGTCATAGTTGTTAGGGTTTACAAAAAGTCCGTGAAAGACTATCTGACACTTTTACAATCAATATGAATGTTTAATTGCTCAAGAACAAAAATTCCATCATGCTGGGGTCAAACCATCTGACAAAGGGCAAAATGGCAACCCTGAGAGAAGCTCACATGCCCCCTTTAAGCAAGATGAGGGGAATTCCACTGTGATTAAGTGTACTTTGAAGTGATTGGGTATAGAGCCTTACTGGTACAGGAATCATTTTATGATTGGCTCATGACATCTGGTCAGCAACTGTGGTTGCAGTATCAGGGGTCTCTCTGCTGTGTCAGGGGTCTGTTTGATTGAAAATAGCAAGAACAGTTCTTGCTTATGGCCAGGTAGGACCCTGATTGGCTACCAGACTGGAAGTACTTCCTAATGGTCTGATTGAAGCCAGATACGAGTCAACATAGGATGGTGGGGTAATATGGGGCAGAGGTCTTAGCAAACTGGCCCCTAGGGAAAAACAACAACAACAACAACAAAAAACAGCCAGCCTTGTTAGGGTCAGTCCTGTTATAAGAGGGGACCGCCACTTCAGTAGTGTTGTGCTCTGTGGAATTAAGATGAATTTCTTCTTATTTAGTGAGAAGTCTATATGTGAGAAAATGTGGCACCGAAGATACAAACTCAAAAAACCAAAATGGTAAGTGTGACTAATAGAAGGGTCGGGAAAGCTGAAGGGAAAAAGGGGCGAAGCAGCCTAGCAAGACTGCGGTTCCTGCGCTCTGCAGGCTGAGGGGGGGGAGGGGATATAATGAGTTGCCAGCTAGCTGAACCACATAGCAAAAAGAAAAAAACAAAACAAACAAACAAGCAAAAAAACAAACAAACAAAGAAGAAAAGAAAAGGCTATGATAACAAATCTACTAGTCATGCTCTCGCCTCCTTCCAAAGGAGGCTGTGAGGTCTGCTGGCTCCTCCACCTCACAACTCCCACAGATGAGGGAATTCTAGGATGGCCCTGCAGAGTAAAGACTGGCCAGCAGCCTTATGCAATGATTTGGGGAGCAAGAAGGAGGGGGATGCTTCTGTCTAAGCCGCTGCGGCTGCTGCTGCGGCTGTGCCTGAGCCTTAGCCCTACAACCAGGGACAGTGCCGAGTTAGATGAATGTGTATCTAAACAAACGATTCTGCTGCCGTGTGGTTAGTTGTTAACTGTTTCATGTGTGGGATGTGGTATTTCATCACCTTGTCCCCAAACACTTATATAAATATGAGAATCATCTCTAGTTTATAGTAGAGAAAAGAGAGCTGGAAAGATAAAATAAGGTGTGTAAGAACACATATCCTTACCGTGGGCTTTTGCTCTCAGACTATGTGCTTCAATTCATTCTGGTACTAGTGTCTATATAAGAGTAGAAAACCCTCACCTAGCCAACTGCACTAAATTTTTAAGTAAGTTATATTAACTCTTCTAATTCATTTTACTGTTGTTAGAACCCAGATCTAACACAAAGGCCAGGATTAAAGTGCTCTAATGAACTTGTGCAGACCCAGGTAGGTTCCCTCACATGCATTACCATTTATGCTGTTGAATCACTTCGCTTGAGTCAGGTTGAGGGTTTCTTAGTCCAGCGGACTTTCCCTTTTAAAACCACGGTAGTCCCGGACAAACAAGGATGGTTAGTTATCCTTCATCATGCAAACGTAGTCAGACATAGAATGTGTCTCTGTCTTATTGCAACATTATTATATGACCTAGCAAATGTCCAGTTTGTTTCTCTTGCATGTCTTCATACATTCCCCCCACACTCCCTGAAATGACTATACTATCATCACTCTCCAGACACACAGTTCGAAGAGACGTAAGCAGCACAGAGCTTCTGATCTTCAAGGTGGGATTGCCAGTCTGTGGTCTGTGAATGAAGGGGGCCTTGGGATGGGGGTCCAAGGACTCAAAATGGAACCCGGGAAGAGAAGAGAAGAGAAGAGAAGAGAAGAAAGAAAGTGTTGCAAGGGGAGCCTGGAACAAAGGACATTTCTGCAGGAGACAGCAATATGCACGTTGTCCATCAATGGTCTTGGGAAAGCGGGTTGAGAATCCCCGACCTAACATCTTGGCCTTGAAGAATCACCTTTTTCCTCCACTCAGTGCCTGGATGAGAGACAGAGAGTCACAAGTGTTGACGTATGAGTGTTTTCTATTTATTTTGAGTCTGTGTGTGCTTGTCGTGGGAGTGTGGTTGTGATTGATGCATTCCAAAGACATAAGAGATGTTAAAATGTAGTCACCAAACTCAACTGCTGCTTATCATCTTGTCCACGGGTAGAAAAGCATGCACATTTGTGAGGTGCTTGGTGTCCTCTGTAGCTACTGGTACAAGTGGGACACATGGAGGACACACGATTGCTTTGCCCGAGCTCTTGCTGCATGACTTGAATAATCTTTATTCTCAGTCCTCGAGGCTCTGTGTAAGTAGTTGTTCTGTGTAAGTATCAGCCCTGCAAGTGTCTGATACTACACTCGACAATCTCATTTCATCTCCATAGCAACTCTCATGGTAACTTCTATTATATTCACTTCAGAACCCAAGAAGCTGAGCAATTCAGTAACTTGCCCACCAAGTTCTGTCCTTCAGCCATTGTCCTCTTAGGCTACAATTTGTAGCTAAGAAATGAATTCAAAAGCTGCTTATTAAGTAACATTGCATATCACGCCGTGCCTCATGTACCATGCTGGCCCTTGAGTGTAGAGATGTAAGCCAGAGCACTGGTTAGATGTGCATATGCATGTTCAATAGTCAAAGCAATGTTCATTAACAAGGAATGTATATTGGAAAGACTCTGGAAAGATTCCTTGTCTAACATTGTATTTACTCCTAATTTGTTTTCTCTGCCATGCAATCTCATGTCCTCCATAGAATATCTAGTACTGTTTACTAGTACTAGTAAAGTCTTCTTTACTTTTCTATCTAAATGACACTGAGGGGTGGGGAGATAGCTCAGTTGCAAAATACTTTCCTCACAAGTACGAAGCCCCGAGTGTGTTCCCCAGAACCCACATAAAGAAACAGTTGGCTATGTCTGCATGCTTTTGATCCCAGCACTGGGAAGGCAGAGATAGACAATCCCTAGCTCTCATCGGCTAATCTGCCTAGCCTGCTTCGCAAACTCCAGGCATGTGAGAGCTGATACCTCAAAAAATGTTGTAGACAGTGTCTGAGAAATGATGCCTCCACACACACACATGCACCACACACACATGCACCCTCATGCAGATGAACACACATACAATCTAAATACAGGTCAACAGGGAGCTGACTCAGAGTGGTCCCTAAGACACACAAAACAAAACAACTCTAAATACAAGTCAACAGGGAGCTGACTCAGAGTGGTCCCTAAGACAAACAAAACCAAACAACTCTATTCCATCACCCTAGCCATGCTATTCCCTTCCCAGAAGTAACTGATAGTGTTTTTTGCACATATGTTTTCTCAAAGACAGTTAATATGTAGAAATATATGTTAAAGTATCTATATTTTTTCTATATTTTTTTGAATTCCTAAATGGTAGCTCACAGTGCATTTGCTGTACACTTTGCCTTTTTTTTTGTTTGTTTGTTTGTTTTTTTGTTTTTTTGTTTTCTGAGACAGGGTTTCTCTGTGTAGCTTTGCGCCTTTCTTGGAACTCACTTGGTAGCCCAGGCTAGCCTCAAACTCACAGAGATCTGCCTGCCTCTGCCTCCCCAGTGTTGGGATTAAAGGCGTGCGCCGCCTGGCTACTTTGCCTTTTTTATTTAATGTATTGATCCTTATGCAGCTGCTGGAACTTATTTAAAGGACCAAGAAGAGAACTGCCTCATTTCTAGATTTTCCTTCCCATCCCTCCAGGTGCCTCTTACACGGTCTAGGCCAGGCACTGTTTCTGCTCTCTGTACCTGTACAATACCATGGAGCACTTACTTACTCACTGGCCAAGTTTGGGTTTGGCTGATTTTGTATCTGCTCAAAGGGAGACCTTGAGTCCCCAGGGTATACTGAGTCAACCCAATACCAAAGGGGCAGCCTTTTCGTAACTCAATACAGAAGCAGATCTGGAGCGGCGTCTTCATGGTTGTTTTTCCTCCACTTCTTTTCCCAAATGCAGATGCTCCACCTGCTTATTCCAGGTTCTCCCAGAAAATGCCGGCATTGCTCCTTTACTGCTGGCTGCCCTGAACTTGCACTTGTACCAGGAAAAACCCATTAGGCCTCTTGAAGGCCACTGCCTCTCATCCCCACAGGGACCTCTAAGAGCCTGCTTTTCAGAGGATTTCAAAATCAATGCTTCTTGGGGGAGGAGGGAAGAAGGAAGAAGGAGTCCAGAGCTTTCTTTCAATCTTCTTTGTTTTGTAACATGTCAAGACTGAAGAAACAGGCCGGGTATGGTGGTGCATGTCTCTAATCCCAATATTCAGGAGGCAGAGGCAGGCAGATCTCTACATAGAGTTCCAAGCCAGCCAGAGCTACATAGTGAGATCCTGTCTCGAAGGAAAGACTGATGAATCAGAACCCCCAAGGGAACCCTTCTGTTACCTGTTCACATGTGTTTATTTGTGGGATGATCCTCATGACAATTTCTTGTTTGTATGAAGTTTAAGAAAATATAGAGTTGAGCGGGACATTTCACTTACTCACTTTATTTGAAATCTTAACACCGTCTCATGGTGTTGGATTGTAAAGGCACTTTATCCTTTTGTGTTGTGTATCACCATAAATGGAGAGTTTATTTTGCATCTAATTGTCATTGTATTGCATTAATTTAATAAAATATTTTTATTTATTAAACATTTCTGTTTGTTAATCCAGTTTAATCTCCAGTGGAAAAAAGTCACTTAGAATATCTGCATCCCTGTCTTTATTCCCCCCACACAGCTTTTTATTGAATATGAATGATGAAAACTAACAAAATAATTCATTTAAAATAATGTATGAGGCGCTGGAGAGAGTTCAGTGGTTAAGAGCACTTGCGGCTCTTATAGAGGACATGGTGTTCAGTTCATAGGCCTCACATGGTTGGTTACTCACAGCCACTTTCCAGGGAATCAGTCCAGTGTCCTCTTCTGGACTCTGGGTACTGAATATACAAACATACAGGCAAAGCATTCAAATCCATAAAATGAAAACAAATCTTAAAAATCTATTAAGCTTGGGAGGCAGAGGCAAATGGATCTCTGTGAGTTGGAGGCCAGCCTGGTCTAGAAAGCAAATTCTAGGACAGCCAGGGCTACACAGAGAAACTCTGTCTTGAAAAAAATAAAACAAGACAAAAGTCTATTAAGCAATTTCAGTCTCTTTTGCTTTATAGGTTTAGGGAAATATGAAGAAAACAGTCAAAAGTCTTCCATCAAAATTGGAGACCTGGGGGTGGGTTGGGAGGAGAAAGTGGAACCCCCATAATCAGGGAGGTGAAGGGACTTTGCTCAAAGAGCACACTCAGGCATGTGAACACGGGGGTGGGGGGGTGGGGGGAGAGGTGATAGCATTACATCATGACACTGAATGTGCTTCAATCTTCTGGTTCTGAAGAGGAAGTGAGAAACCCAAAACTGAGCAAAGTGTAGGACTAGGACCCAAGATGTCTCTGGAACCATAAGAAAATCTGTACTCTCTTTAAACAAACATCATCACACTCACCATTAAAGAAATGTGTTGTCTCTCTATCACTTCTTCGGCAATTCAGCTTGAAGAAGCTTTTGATCTTTGGATAATTTCTTAAAATCATATTCTCTCAAAGCACAGAGGCCGTTTCTAATGACATACAACAGACTCCAAATGTTTTTAAAGAAAGATCTGCATCTTTATAGTAATAACAAGACACTAAGACACTATCTATGCCAGTACCAGCAGAAGGCCTCATGGTGGGGTCGGACCATGGGCCAACATGTTGATTAATGTCTTCTTTCTGAATGGTTCTGTCTCCCCCCCTCCCACCACCCCAACCCCCAAACCCCCTACCCTCCCACCCTGTCTTCAGTCTAAAGGTCACTTTCCTCCGGGCCTACATCAAAGCTGAGATGTACAAAGTGCCATTTAGTTTCAGAAATCAATCATCAATCTTCCACTTCCGATACAAAGATCTCAGTGACTCACATTTACATTTTCCTGGGAATTGTGAAGGAGTCAAAGAAACACTCCCTGCCTTCCTGGAGCTTGCAGTCTCACTGAAGAGACAATGTAAACATTCGTTTAAAACATTAACGGCCATTAATTTGTGTGTTAGGATATGAGAGTTTAGGATGATGCCTGGAGACGGCGAGACGATAAGATGGTGAATTCTGAACAGATGAGATTTGACCCGGATATGGTTAGTCCCTCAGATAGTCATAAACTGGAAGCTCGGTCTCCAAAGCAGTGCTATGAATGGAATCTTTAAAAGCTGATGACTAGTCTTGAAGAGGCATTGATGGTTTCCTGCAGGAAGTGAGTCAGGTCATACGGTTACTGTGGGAAGCTAACCTCTCGCTGGGATGATTTGGATGGGATTAATTCGTATCATGGTGGTTCTAGTGAGACCTCAGTCTCCTTCACTGGCTCTTCTTTTTCATCTCTTCCCCTATGATCCCTTCTGCACACTGCTCACTGCTCTCACCCATGTTCCCGCCACACGTGCTTTGATGACGTCAGAGGCCTTTGCCAGATGTGGAGTGCCAACCTGGGCTCTGACAGCTCTGAAAACGTAGGCTAAAGAAAGTTCTCTTCCTTGTAAAACAGCCATCCTCAAATTGAAACTAAACGTGAATCCTAAGGCCTCGGAGTCCTTTACAGAGGATAGCAGATACATCGCGGTCACTGCAGCACGGAGCAGATGCCAACCCTTGATGGCACAAAAAGTGACTTCTTCCCGACGGTATAAATGTAACAAAGAACCTTTGCGCTTCCTTACGGGGACAGCAGGGATGTCACGTGGCATCATCACCCCTGTGGTGGATAAGCTGCGATTTTTATCAGATTACACGTGACCCAGCATTTCCACTTTTAAAGTTTCCCATGTGTGCAAACTGTCACACACATAAGCTTATCCGTTGTACTTCTATTGAGAATGACTAAACATTTAAAACAGCCCAAATACCTGTTAAGAGAGAACTGATTAAATAAATTCGGGTACATCCAAACAATAGAATAGTTGAATAGACAGCTACAAAAGTAAATAAGGAATCCTTTTCGGACTGATATGGGAACAGTCTCTAAGATGCGCCTATTGTTAAGGAAACTATAGGAGAAAGGGTAAATTACACTACACTCCAAGCATTATATTAATTGTACAAGGAATATGCAGCCTATGAATATTCATTTGCATGCTAGGTGCTAAGTATAGATAATCTGTACTCTTGGGTTTTTTTTTGTTGTTGTTGTTGTTTTGTTTGTTTGTGTGTTTTGTTTTTTCGAAATAGGGTTTCTCTGTATAGTTTTGGTGCCTGTCCTGGATCTCGCTCTGTAGACCAGGCTGGCCTTGAACCCACAAAGATCCACCTGGCTCTGTTTCCCGAGTGCTGGGATTAAAGGTGAGTGCGCCCCCGCCCCCTCCTCCCCCTCCCCCTGGCTGATAATCTGTACTCTTAATTTATGTATTTATTTATTATGGGCTCTGCAGTGTGTCTGTTCAGCAAATGCAAATTTTGTTCTTTGGGAAAAGAAAAAATGTGCATTTTGCTTGTATTTGCATTTTGCTTGCAAAAACTACATATTTAGAAGGATGAATGAGAAATTGATAGAAAAATGGGCTCATGTGGCAAATTGGGACCCTGATAAGCAAATTTCACCAAGCTACGTCTGGTATCTTTCTGTTTTTGAACTTTTTTTTTTTTTTCCAAGACAGGATATCTCTCAGTAGCCCTGGCTGTCTTGGAAGTCTGTAGACTAGGTTGGCCTCGAACTCACAGAGATCTGCTTGCCTCTGCCTCCTGAGTCCTGGGATTAAGCTGTGTAGCACCTGTCTGGCTGCTTTTGAATGTTGTAAGCATATTATCACTTCAAATAACCAAGTTATATCTTTTAGTTTATAACAAAAGTCTGAGCTCAATTATTTACCTTCCAGTGTTGATGTGACCTGTGGACACACAAGCAGATTGTTTATTTAGGGGATCTGATTATGTAGCTGTAGGGTTGGATCTGCACGATGATAAGTGATATTGAGCACCACAGAAGAATAAATGCACCACACCAGCCCATTGTTTATGCTTCCATGGATGAAATAATTGAGAGATCTAGATCACAGCCAACTCGCAGGGATCATCCTCACCTCTCTCTGTGCAGTTGGAGAAATGAGTTCTAACACACTCTTACAAGTGAGTTTTGGCATAACAGAGGTGGGGCTTTTTTGGTCAGTAACTTGGGGCCTTTGTTGAGTCTTGAAATCCCCTAAACCTAGGCTTTTCCTCTCACTTAACATCTTGGTTTCTTCCTGGCAAATTTAGCTGTCTGCTTTGAGATTAAGTCCTCAACCTTAAACACACACACACACACACACACACACACACACACACACACACACCTGTTACCACCTCAAAGCAGGTAGTGGAGAAAAAGGGAAAAGAGAAAGACTGTAAGATGTTATTCAACAGCAGTGACATGTACAATGCAAGTTCCCTGCATTGTGGGAACTTCTGTTGTGGTGCTGAAAACTGAAGAAAATGCCAAGGTACACTTACACTAGAGCAAAACAAACAAACAAACAAACAAACAAACAAGCAACAATAACTGCCAATCAACCAAACAAAGCCCTCCTTCCATCAGTGGCACCCAATAGCGAGCAAGCCTTTTCTGTCAATCATCTCTTCTTTCTGGCTACAGATGGCTTAGTAAGCTTGAACTAAGTTATGAATGTGAGTGTGTATGAAACCAAAAAAAAAAAAAATTATCTCTTTCTAGGACACTGAAGGTGTTGAAGACTTCAACGAGATTTTAATAATCCAGGCATCTAGGGAAAAACTGAAAAAACAAATTCAAATAAACAAAAAATCAAAACTAACCTAAAACCAAACCAAATCAAAACAAAACCAAAACCTTTTTGTACAAGTCAGGGCTCTGACTACAGATAATGAAAGAAAAACAACTGTGTATACTGAGAAACCTACCTGGATTTGGGGAGAACAGGCGAGTGCCTTAAAAATCCCACGCAGTCATGACTTTAAGTGTGTCATCCAGCTTCCCTGAATCTGTTTGCTTATGGTAAATGAGATCATGACTAACCACTTAATATCTAGGCAGTTCGCAGACTGCTTGGCATCAACAGGCAGCAGAAACCCTGTATGTTGGTAGTGTTGATTACAGGAAGTGGTTTATTAAATTATTTGAAGAGCCAAGAGCTCTCTATCCATCCAGATTATTATCGCTATATCTGAAGTACTTAAAAGGTAGCTTAACATTTTTTAAAATATTTTTTAAGTTTAATTTTAAAAATATTTTTATACTTATTAATTTTGTTATGGGTAGGAATGTTTTGCCTGTTTGCACTAAAATTCCCCACATGCATCCCTGGTACCCACACAGGTCAGTAGAGGGCATCAGATCTCCTGGAACTGGAGTCATGGGTAGTTGTGAACCACCAGGTAGGTGCTGGGAACAGAACCTAGGTCCTCTGCAAGAGCCATGGCTGCTTTTAACCACTGAGCCATCTCTCCACCCATCCCCTATAGTGTTTAACTCTTATACCTATCTTTAATTGGTACATATACTAATGGAAGTTGTGGCAGATTAAAGAGCTAAATTGATACACAGTGATTTTGGATGATGTCAAAATTAACTGGAATTTATTTTCAGTTTGTGTAGCACAAATCTCTAAAGGTCT